TTTTTGTTTTCTCCTTCTTGACTTCTCACTTCTCACTTCTACACTTTCAACTTCAGTGGCCACGTATGCAAACAGTAAGTCTTCTTTTTGTTTTCTCCTTACTGACTTTTCCTTTTATTTACTGTTTTAATATTGTAGTTAGATAGCGCATAAAAATATTTGTGATTGAAGTTAGTTAAAAAATCAAATTATAATTTTTTGATTATAATTAGTTGAATAATTCTTTTTTTTTTTTAATGTGATTGTAGTTAGTTTAATAGTTCTTTTTTTTCATTTATTTATTTTATTATGTAAAAAATGTGATGTGATTGTAGTTTAGTTTAATAATTCTTTTTTTTTCATTTATTTATTTTATTATGTGAAAAATGTCATGTGATTGTAGTTTAGTTTAATAATTCTTTTTTTTTCATTTATTTATTTTATTATGTGAAAAATGTGATGTGATTGTAGTTTGTTCAATGACTCTTTTTTTTTAATATGATTGTTGTAATTAGTTAAATTATTTTTTTAATGTTATTTAATCTTTTTATTTACTATTTTAATTTTATTTTTGACTTTTTAATACTATTGAAGTTAGATAAATATAAACCATCACAAAGAGAAAAATGTAATTATAATTATTATAATTTTTTGATTATAATGAGTTGGATGATTCTTTTTTTTTTTTTTGAAGTGATTGCAGTTAGTTTAATAACTTTTTATTTATTTATTTATTTATTTTACTATGTGAAAAATGTGATATGATTGTAGTTTGTTCAATGACTCTTTTTTTTTAATATGATTGTTGTAGTTAGTTCAATGGTTTTTTTTAATGTTATTTAATCTTTTTATTTACTATTTTAATTTTATTTTTAATATGATTGAAGTTAGATAAACATAAACACTCACAAAGAAAAATATGTGATTGTAGTTAGTTCAATGGTTCTTTTTTTTTTTAACGTGATTGTAGTTAGTCAATGGTTCTCTTTTTCATTTATTCATTTTTGGGTAAATTACATTTGACACCCCCTGTGATTTATATTTATTACAATTCTCCCAATCACCATTTGAAAATTACATCCCCTCTCTGAGATTTAAAGTTTCATTACATATTAGATTTAAAGTTTTATAATAGTTCCCCCCTCACCGTAATGATCATCATACATAAAATTAGATTAACAAGGGGTCAGTGTAATTTCCCAAATGTGATGGAGGAAACTATAATAAACATAAACCTCAGGGGTGTTAGTGTAATTTACCCTTTATTTTTTTTATTATGAAAAAATGTGATGTGATTGTAATTTGTTCAATGGTTCTTTTTTTTTAATGTGATTTAATCTTTTATTTACTGTTTTAATGGTTTTTCTTTTACAATTATTTATGCAAAAAATATGATTGTATTTAGATAGTATAAAAATATTTGTGATTTGATTTGATTTTTTTATGATTTAATTTTTAAAGTATCAATTATTAATAATGATTAGAGTGTATTTTGGAAAAAAAAATTGTAATTGATTTTTTTAACTTACTGTGCTTTTTAAAAAATGTCACTAATTGTTTCAGCGATAGTTTGAAAATTTTATCTATACTATATATTAAGCAAAAAGAGAGTTTTTAATCCCCAAGGCTTGTGGGAACTTCAATATCTCAATTTGAATTTTTAAAATTTTTTATTTAAAAAAAAAACTCAGCATTTATTGATTTGGTTAAAATCCCCTTATCAACATTTATTAGCTTTTTTCAATCCACATGTCTTTCCACATGCCTGCATTTATTGATTTGGTCAAAATTCCCTGATCAGTATTTAAAATCTCCTCATACAAATAATTATAGATACAATCCGTATATAGTTATTGTAGTACCCTTTTCAACTTCTCCCATACACTATGGTTAGTGATAAAATTATTAAATTATTTTTATAAAAAATCTTAAAAAACATAATTCATATATTTAAAAAATCTAAAACAAATATAAATATTTATAATTATTTCGTACATAGCACGGGTGATAAACTAGTTGCTTATAGTTAGAATATAATATATGTTTTGACATTTTTTTTATCACAAGATAGATTAAAAGAGACATAAAGAACACAAATTTCAATACTTTAAAAAAATTGAGAAAATTGAAAAGAATATGAAGTATAAAAGAAGAATGGGTGAGGAATACAAAGAGAGGAAAATGAAAGGGTTGGAAAGTTGGTTGAAATACGTAAAATGTTAAAAAATTAAATAAAAAAATAAAGTAAGGGTATTTTAGTCACATTATCAAAAAAATTATGTTGCAAACTTTTCTCATTTTCTATAATAGTGGGATAATTAAATCTCACTTAATGCATTTTTAACAAGTACCCTAAGGTCACATTTGTTTGGAGAATTAAATTGGATGAGATTGTTAGTGAGAGGATAGTCAGTGAAAAGATTGAGTGAAAGTGTGTTTTTTTTATAATAGTGTGAGAAATGATTAGGGAAGGAATCGATAAATTATTTTTATATAAAATATATATATAAAAAAACGTATTTCTATATTAAAAAAAAAAGGTCTAAAACAATTATAAAAATTTGTAGACATAATAGCAGTTGAAAAAAAAAAAATGGTTCTCTTTCAATCCCGTGGAACTTATTTCTCAATCCCAAGTTATCACCAGCTATGCTAGTTCCATTGCTCAGTGGGATTGTGAATCCTATTGGGTTATTAGTTCGGTGGTTAATTTCACAGCCAAACATGCTTTTAATGGGACCCACGTCAATCTTAATCTAGTCCTACTACTCATGCTGGAAAACAAATGTGACTTAAGAGTCTTTCGATGGTGTGCCAAATTCTTGAGCCAAAGTCATTTTTGGCTATACCATCACAAAAAATCTCCTCCAATGATATGTCAAATCTTAAGTCAAATTTATCACATCAACAAAAACAATTATGATCACTAGATGTATTTGGAAAAATAGGTCCAATGATCACAAATTAATATAATAGTTAGAGCAACTCTAATGACAAATGCTAATAGTATTGTCATTGCCAAATTATGACAATGAATAATAGAAAATAGATGAAAAATAACAATGGTTCTCCAATAGTTCAGCTGTCATTTTTATCATTTTAGCGCAGAAACTGATATATTCGAACATCTGGGTTGTTGTCTGAAAACACTGGTTTTTGTGTTTCTTCCACAAAAATAGCAGGCGGGAAGGAGGGATGGAAGGAGGGATGTTTTGCTGGGAGGAGGGAAGGAAGGAGGAAGGTATTTCTTGATGATTTGTGACAAATAGCCGCTGCAAAGCTTGTGTCAAATTTGACACAAATTTTGACATTTTTCAAATATAGCAACTGTTATAAATTGCCATTGGAGCACACTACATTGATGGAGCTACCAAATTGTGACAATAACAGTTCCAATGGTGAGCCATTGGAGTTGCTTTTAGTGTTATCAAAATAGCATGAGAATCATTCAGTGGTGTAGTTAAAAAATGACTTTTGTATATTGTAGAGAGCTAAAAAAATGACTTTAACAAAGTTTTTTTTTTAAACTTTCACCGTTAAAGTTGCTCCAAGATAAACCAGTAAAATCATAATAATGATAGGGTTAGATGTGATAATTTGATAGCATAGTAGTGCGTCCCCAATGACGGATCTAGAAATTTGACATAGGGACATTTTTTTTTTTTAGATAACCAGATGTCCGGATCAATTTATATGCACTTCAACTAATTTTGGAAGACCAATCTCATTGCTCCACTTGCAAGGGCCCAAAACAAACAATCTATATGGACTTGGCCCCTAGGAATTTATTGGGACTAGTATTGAACCTGAGATCTAGTGGGAGCACACCTACAATCTCCAAGTTATGTCAACTAAAATATCAAAATTAGTTGTAAACATGAGAGGTACAACTCTTTCTGTGAAAAAAAAAATACAACAAAGAGTTACACTCCCACCTGATATAGTAAATAATTTTCTCACTTCCCAATGTTTTGTAATTTTTTTTTAAAAAACTTTTTTCCCTCATAATCAACAACAACTGAATGTTACAAAACTCAAACATTTATTACCAAGAACAAAACTCAGTAAATACGTACAAATGAATTGAATAGAATTACTTTAGGTCAGAATATATGTTTTGACATTTTTTTTTTTTAATTACAAGATAGATTAAAAGAAACACAAAAAATACAAATTTCAATACTTGAAAAAAAATAGAGAAAATTGAAGAGAATATAAAGTATAAAAGGAGAATGGATGTGGAATATGTTTGAAATAGAGTCTATTGGTAAGAGTAAATAACATTTTCACATTTTCCTTTAAGAAAATTGATTTGCAAACATAAAATTCATATAAATTTTTTTTATCAAAATGATGTGTCAACGCCACTTGTGAAATTACAAAGACAATAATAAATATTTTGATTGAAAATGAATGAACTATAAGATACCAATTCATTTTGTATAGAATATTTTATACAAATATTTTATTTGTATGTCATTACTCTTTTTTCAAAACATAATATAGGAATTCTTTTTCAAAATTAAAATTGTCAAGTACCTTAAATAATTTAGAAAGGAGACTAGTATAATTTTGTAAACAATATATTAGTAATACTTTTAATATTCATGGTACTGATATAATTTTGTCAAAAAATTATTGATTAATTTAATAACAACACGTGATCATATTTTTCATCAATCACAATTTATTATATCTTATTATTTTTTTAATCACTTAATACAAATTCATAAATTTCATTCATCGAGAGGCGGTGGTGTGCAAGATGAACCAATAACTTGTCAATTTTGTCCTTCCTTGGCTCCTTGACAGGTGGGCCCTGAAATACAGTATGTGATCTTTGGGATATTCGACGAGCCTTCCTTCCTTTGGGATATACGATGAGTCTATATGCGGCGAAATGGAATCATGGATTCCTTGACTCTCAAACACACAACATAACTGTTGGGAATCTCCATTAGCTATTTTTAACCCTGTTAAAATGTCAACTGTTGAACCCACTCTATATATATATATAACCAACCAAACCAAACAAACAAACAAACATACACCACACTCTCTCTGTCTACAACACTTCTCAAGACACCTTCAAAAGTTACAACAATGGCCAACATTGAAGCACAACTCTCCACATCAAAATTTTCATTACCAGTAGATTCCGAAAACAAATCCAAATCACTCAAAATCTTCTCCTTCGCCAACCCACACATGAGAACCTTCCACCTCTCCTGGTTTTCATTCTTCACTTGTTTCGTCTCCACCTTCGCCGCCGCTCCTCTCGTCCCAATCATCCGCGACAACCTCAACCTCACCAAATCCGACATAGGAAACGCCGGGGTAGCCTCGGTTTCCGGAAGCATCTTTTCCAGGCTCGTCATGGGCCCAGTATGTGATCTACTGGGCCCACGGTACGGTTGTGCTTTTTTAATCATGTTGTCGGCCCCGACAGTGTTCTCGATGTCGTTCGTGTCGTCGGCATCGGGATACATTACTGTCCGATTCATGATTGGGTTTTGTTTGGCAACGTTCGTGTCGTGTCAGTATTGGATGAGTAGGATGTTTAATGGGGAGATTATTGGGCTTGTGAATGGGACGGCCGCTGGGTGGGGGAATATGGGTGGAGGAGCTACTCAGCTTATAATGCCGTTGCTGTATGAGTTGATTTTACGGTGCGGGTCGAGTCCGTTTACCGCGTGGCGGATTGCTTTTTTTATACCCGGTTGGTTTCATGTCATTATGGGGATTTTGGTTTTGACTCTTGGTCAGGATTTGCCTGAAGGGAACCTTGGGGCTTTGCAGAAGAAGGGTGATGTTGCCAGAGATAAATTCTCTAAGGTCAGTTGTTCTCAAATTTCCTGTATTCATGTTTCAGAATACTTATACATAGTTCATATATTATATGTTAAGATTCTCATATTTTAAAATTTTAATATAAAGATTGATTACTTTGAAGTTTAAAAATCTAAACTTGACTGTGATGATAATAATTCGAATGGTTTATTTTATAGAACCTCCCTTGATGAGACCCATGATGGATTTGATAAAATGAATTATTTGAATTATCGAAACGGACCTCGAAATAGGCTCAAGAGTCCATATAACACTCTCTAGTTTAGATTATGAGATCCTAGTCCAAATAAATATGCTATAATTATCGGATCGATCTAACCTCTTCATGAATAATATACACAAAGAACCGTAAAAAATGCACAATTTGAATTTTCGAAACAGGATCTATAATAGACCTCACGAGTTCAATATCATAGATAGGAGAAATAACACATCGTTTAAAAAATATTTACATATTAGTGAAAATAATTATGATTTTTTTTTTTTTTTTGGTGCGGTAGAAAAATTAAAGCAACAGCTAACTAGGAAATCTCCAGTCAGAGCATCTAGAGCATCTTTACCACTAATTTGAATTTTTTGTTAAAAAGATACCTTGAATCTAATAAATATTAATAAGTATGATTCTATCTTTCTTTTTTTGGCGTGTGTATAATTTTAAAAATCGAAGTCTTCAAATGTCAACTCTGCTTAGCTGCCACTGTCTCCTTGTTGGTCAGGTGTTATGGTATGCTATCACAAACTACAGGACATGGATCTTTGTCCTCCTCTACGGCTATTCCATGGGTGTCGAGTTATCCACAGACAATGTCATCGCAGAGTACTTTTACGACAGGTTCAATCTCAAGCTCCACACTGCCGGCACCATCGCAGCCACCTTCGGCATGGCCAACCTCATCGCCCGCCCCTTCGGCGGCTTCGCTTCCGACTACTCCGCCAGATTCTTCGGCATGAGAGGCCGCCTGTGGACCCTCTGGATCCTCCAAACACTCGGCGGACTCTTCTGCTTCCTCCTCGGCCACGCCAACTCCCTCCCCATCGCCATCTCCATGATGATCCTCTTCTCCGCCGGCGCTCAGGCCGCCTGCGGAGCCACCTTCGGCATCATCCCCTTCATTTCTCGCCGATCTCTCGGAGTCATTTCTGGCATGGTCGGAGCCGGTGGGAATTTTGGGTCTGGTTTGACACAGTTGATATTTTTCACAAGCTCCAAGTACTCAACTCAAATGGGTTTATCTTATATGGGTGTTATGATTATGTGTTGTACTTTGCCGGTGATGTTTGTGAATTTTCCGCAGTGGGGTGGGATGTTTGTTGGGGCCGCGAAAGAGGGTGTGAAAGGGAGTGAAGAGTACTATTATGGGTCGGAGTGGAGCGAGCAGGAGAAGGAGAAGGGGATGCATCAGGGAAGTTTGAAGTTTGCGGAGAACAGCCGGTCGGAGAGGGGGAGGAGGGTTGCTTCTGTGGCATCGCCGCTGGATTCGAGTCCAAACCATCTTTAAGAAGATCAGCTTCGCATACATCAATGGTGGAAATGGAAGCGAAAATAATGGGAAAAATAGGCCATGTGTTGTTGCTTTGTTTGTGTTTTGTGATTTAAATTTGCATACGAAATAATTACAAATCGGACACTAACTCACTCATTTTATAAAAGATTGAGACTTAACTAGGTGACGGATTTGTATCCGATTTTGTAATCAAGTTAATGTATTTCTATATTTGTATATGTTACTTAAACTATAATATTAAGATAGTTCTCAATAATTAAAAATTGACTTGTTTTTAATTGTGCACAACTTTAATGAATGTATGTATTATATTTATTTTAAATAGAATATGAATACTTATTAAGATGCTACATTCCACATATATATCTTAATAAAACTTTGGTCTTATATGTATATAAGTTTTTTTAGCACTCTTTATTTGCAAGTATGTAAGTTTTATTTAAATAATTTGTATTATTATTTGAGATAGATTTGTTAATGAGCACAGTTGGTTGGAGCGCGGGAGGAGAGCCACCTGTGTGACTTGTTAATCTGAGTTGTTGCGTTTCATTTTTGGTAACGTGTCATTATTCTATCAATTTAATTATTTGGTCAGTAAGTATTCTTCCATAATGCAAGTCTTACAATATTGTTGAGTTTGCGATAAATCAGAAGTTGATATATAAGAATATTTTTAATTCTTCATCAAATTTAAATTTTATATAAAAAAAATAAAAAATATTAAAATATGAATTCATCTTAAATTGAAGGTGGTGAGAAAAATGTAATCAGCATATTAACAAAAATTGTGTAAAATAAAGTTGTGTGAGCAGTTTTATATGAAATGATGACATGAACTAAGACCATCTCCAACGGTGAACTAAACCTGGCATCAAATTTAAAATTTGGTGAAAAAGCCACTTTTTTAAGCTCCAACAATTTCACCAAATCGATATCAAATCCAGAATTCAACAAAAATGGTACCAAACTGAGTGCAGGCGAAGCATTTCACCAAATCACTGTTCCTAACCGTTGGGATGAGAAATCGGACACTAACTCACTCATTTTATAAAAGATTGAGACTTAACTAGGTGACGGATTTGTATCCGATTTTGTAATCAAGTTAATGTATTCCTATATTTGTATATGTTACTTACACTATAATATTAAGATAGTTCTCAATAATTAAAAATTGACTTATTTTTAATTGTGCACAACTTTAATGAATGTGTGTATTATATTTATTTTCAATAGAATATGAATACTTATTAAGATGCTACATTCCACATATATATCTTAATAAAACTTTGTTCTTCTATGTATATACGTTTTTTTAGCACTCTTTATTTGCAAGTATGTAAGTTTTATTTAAATAATTTGTATTATTATTTGAGATAGATTTGTTAATGAGAACAGTTGGTTGGAGCGCGGGAGGAGAGCCACCTGTGTGACTTGTTAATCTGAGTTGTTGCGTTTCATTTTCGGTAGCATGTCATTATTCTATCAATTTAATTATTTGGTCAGTAAGTATTCTTCCATAATATAAGTATTACAATATTGTTGAGTTTGCGATAAATCAGAAGTTGATACATAAGAATATTTTTAATTCTTCATCAAATTTAAATTTTATAAAAAAAAAATAAAAAATATTAAAATATGAATTCATCTTAAATTGAAGGTGGTGAGAAAAATGTAATCAACATATTAACAAAAATTGTGTAAAATAAAGTTGTGTGAGCAGTTTTATATGAAATGATGACATGAACTAATGCATTGTTAAAGTCTAGTGTTTGACATGGTTGGAAGCTGCCATTATTAGTAAACTACAGCATCCAATGTCCAAAGTGATAAGTGATGGTAACTCCAATATGCAATTTAAAAATAAAGAAAATAATGTGTCACATAATTCATTTCATTATTTATTTCATATTGTGTATAATTATTTATGTGTATTGTATACATACAATATCACATCATATTTGATAAACAATAGAATTCACCATGGCACTTGAAAATTTATATAGGAGATGAAGTGCTTGTTTGGTTTGAATTTATATAGGAGTCCTCTTACAAGCTGCACGATTTTTTTAAAATATATTTTTAAGCTAAATGGTTTCAAAATTGCAATTACCTTTGACTCCGGCTACATATCTCTACACTTTTTTTTACACCACTTTCTCGGGAAATTAACCCATTCCTATTATATGGAGGTAGTGTAAAAGATGTGTGTATAATTTTATTCATTACATTTTTTTTTTCCCAAATGCAAGTGACTTCTAGGGGTGAACAAATCTTGAGTTGTGCGAGATTCGGACCAGCCTTACATTATATAGTAAAAAAATATGTGTAATATTAAATTCGGTCCAATCAAATATTGTACCAAATTTAATCATCTCATATCCAGTCTTAAAAAAACTTTACTTAACCTAATAGACTATAAATTATTAATTATTAATTTTTGTTTATTATTAATATAGTTCTCAATTATTAGAAGTTGACTTGTCTTTAGTTGTGCACAACTTTAATGAATGTATAGATTATATTTATTTTTAAATTGAATATGAATACTTAAGATGCTACATTCGACATATCTTAATAAATCTTTGGTCATGAATGTATATAAATATTTTGAGCACTCTTTATTCGTAAGTCAGTTTGGGTGACTTTTATAACCGAGTTAAAAAAAAAGAAGAAGAAGAAAATAGAGTTTTATTTAAGTAGTTTGTATAATTATTTGAATCTATGTTATGATCTCGCATCAATTGTCGTTGAAGTGCAGGAGCAGCGCCCAACTGTGTGACTTGTTAATCTAAGCCGTTGCTTTTCATTTTAGGTGACGGTGATCTTATTAATTTAAGTATTTCGTCCAGTTAGTTTTGACTATCATCTAAGTCATACAATATGATTGATTTTGTGATAAATTGAAAATTTTGAAATTAAAATTTTGACATATTAAAATTTTCAATTTTTTATTGAATTTAAATTTGATTAAAAAAAATTAGTAAAAATAAGATCTAATACATTCATTAAACTTATATCAAATCAAGTTTTAATTAAGAAAATAAATAAATAAAGATAAATTAAGTCTTCATCAAATTTCTAACTTCTTTTTTACTTAAATTTGATGAAATTATTAAAAGATCTTGGAGATAATTTTTCGGAGAAATAACCATCCAGAGGTAGTTTGAAATTTTTTTTTACATGAGTAATAAAGTTTATAAATTTCAATAATTAAAATATTAAGCTTTATCATGGAATTGTAATTATTTTAGACAGTACCAACTGATCTGTTATTTTCCTTAATTTGTCAACGGAGGTTTTTGGGATATGTTAGAGCATCTCCAACCATTGTTGCTATAATGTTATTGCTATTGCTATAATTTGGTAATGAATAATATTATTTTGCCAAATTATAGCAATGGTACTCCAATAGTCATTTGCTATTTTGGCAAATCTCAACCAACTTTTCCTTCAAGTTTGTAGGTGTTGTTTGGATATAGGTTTTTTTGTGATTTTGTTTTTGTTTAGTTTTGTCTTTTGTGACCTTTTTCTAACTGTTTGTAAAAAAAGTTATATATTTATATTATTACCGACTTGACAAATACAAAAAATGAAAAAAAATTGAAAAATTGGGAAAAAAAAATATTTAATGTCTTTTTATTATAAAAAATATATTGAAAAATTGGGGAAAAAATTATGTTATTATAAATTATCTTATTATAATAAAAATTGGAAAAAATATATTTTATTTAAAAATTGGGAGTTGATTAGTACTGAATAAGATCTCAGCCGTTGATTAAATAACAATCCAACGGTTGAAATCAATCCTCTGGAATGATCTACTTAAATTTGAAGACAAATCCCAATTTGCTCTCTCTCTCTCTCTCTCCACTCTCTGCGTCTCTATCCTCTCATGTCTTTATCCTCTCATCTCTCTCTTTAACACTCTCATTGTCTGTCTTAGCCGTTGCCTCTACCCCCTGTCTCCACAAGAACCCCCTATTTTCAATGAAGATCAGAGAGATCAGAGAAAGAAATCACAGTTCGAAGAGCAGATCACGGTCCAGTCCGAAAAGCATCTCCCAACTCACCACTGTCTCCCAACTCTTTGTGCTTCTGTTTGTATTTTTCAGATCGGAGAGCAGATCACCACTGCATGCCACCGCTACTCCACCGCCGACACTTCCCCTCTCTTTCTCTCTCTCTCCCTTTCTCTGTGTGTGTGTGTAATTAGCGACTCAACATCACGATTCTCACCGAAGGATTCGAATTCGCACTCTAGATCAAATTTATTGCTCTCTGGAGAGGCACAACAACCAATGATCGCCATTGAATTCACCGGAGGAACCGTGGAAGTTTTTTTTGGCCAAGCTACACATACAGAGCAGCGGATGGAGGTAGGCTTTTGAAATTTTGTTTTTTTTTTTTGGTTTGTTTTGGGAGTAAATTCTATTGCAACTAATTGTTAATTATGTTTTTTTGTTAGATTCTGCTAAAATTCCTGACAAAAAATGACATTCCTGAAATTCCTGTTTGTGAGTAATTGGTGAATTTGGTGATTTTTTGCTGAAATTTGTGTTTGACCAAGGCACAAATTGGCGAATTTGGTATTTTTTTTTTTTTAGACACACTTTGAATAATTGGTGAATTATGCCTTAAACAAAATGGTGAATTTTGTTTTTGAAAAAAAAAAAAACTTCACACATTCTGGAAAAGTCCCAACTAATAGGGAATGAGGGAAGGAAGAAAGCAGTTGGTTTTGGGGTGACTTGGCATATTTGGCAGCTGCATTTGGCACATGATTTGGCAGCTGCCAAAAATGGCAGCTGCATTTGGCACATGATTTGGCAGCTGCCAAAAATGGCAGCTGCTATAACATGCCATTGGAGAAGCCATTTTTCTCCAAGCTGTTATACTATGACTTTGGCACTATTTTAGCAATCCATTGGAGATGCTCTTAGGTATTTTAAAAAAATGATGAAAATTTTGATTATCAAGTTATATCAAATCAAATTTTTTAGGGACGTTTATACACAAATCCTAATTTATGAACTTAGGCCTCGTTTGGGAACATGCTATTTTAGTAACTTTTTGGCTTTTTACGAAAAGATGTACAGAAAAGTAAAGAGGTGATGTGACAACTTTTAGTAACCTTTTGACTTTTTTGCCAAAATAGCCACTCCCAAACAAGGCCTAAGTCTTAACTACGATTCTTTGGACCTTTAAGTCCCATTAAATTTTTTATAGTCGGAATTGCCCTTCAAATAATGATTGTTCATCGTTT